CAGGCAAACATGTTCCAAAAGTTTTACGTACATAGCGATAGGCTTTTGGTGAGTAATAGTTAAGTGTTAGGGCAAAGTATTTCTTGCAAACTTGTGAAGCCTGTTTATGCTATTGTTTTTTATGTCAAGGTATTTTTTCATTCTAATTTTCCTTGGCCTAAGTGTTGGCTCGTACTCGCAGTGGGAGTAGGACTAGTTCGGGCTATATAAGGATTTTTTTTTTCAAATTGTGATTTTCGAGATAACTTATGGAATTTTACCGGAACATCCAGCTTTCTTTTTTCGATGTACATGATATTGTGCAATCACCACGATCACCCTAAAATAAATAATTTTATTTTAGTCAGAAGATTCAAGTTATATATATATATATGATAAAGATAAAGATATTTATTTTGTAAAACATGAGTAAATAAAATACAAGTGGTAAAGAACTTAAAACGAGCTACATGTTTTGCCATTTATGGCGTACAAAAATTATACTACATAAAGATTACAATTACAATAATAGATATATAAATATATGAATTGAATTTGATAAGTTAATGCTTTTGTAAACTTAATAAAATATTTTCAAGTGGAATAATATTGGTGTCAAAGGTAATAATAAAAATATTTAATCTAAATATAATTACAGCCCAACATTACCTCCCACAAGTTCAAGGTTGGTACTGCAGTGTCAGATTCATGGTTCAAAATCTATTCAAAATCTAAATAAAAACTACAAACCGGTTCGGCAGACAAACCCGCATGGTTAATTAACTTATCGATAGTTAAAGTTGCGACGTTCATCACTATAGTGCAATACTTTCAGTTGCAGTGATACCAGTTTATTTTTATAAAAATTGCACACTTTTGCTGCGAGGTAGCAAGTTTCGATTTGATTATGCCTGTATTTTGTATAATATTTTAATAAATACTAGTTATCGATTATATTTAATTATATAATATTCAGTATCGTGTTAAAAATTGAGTTGAATATATAAATCATTTAACAAAATCCACTACACATCCATATGTTATGATTATTATTCATCACAAACTGATTTAGTTATTAGGAAATATATTTTCGTTAATATATATAACTTGTGTAGTAAATTATATTTTTTTTAAAATAGATTATTTTTCACTTTATAAACTATGATGGCCACACTCGATATTGGACGATAATATTCACAAAGTACGAGTTTTAATGATAAAATTACTTTAATATTATGTTAAAAATACTCACAGATGAAAAGTCACATTGCCATTTTGTATACTTGACGATTTTGATTGTTTTTTTTTCATGTAAATACACTGCAAATCGGCATTTTGTCGGAGCTCGATTTACTGGCACGATCACTTCGAAATGACGCACGACGCGGAGCAACTAGTTTTATATAACGAGTATGCGTCGGACTCTCGTACCTTTTACAGAGGGGTTTGCCTTGCGATGCCATCTCCTTTGGTTTAATAATCAAAGACGAGTGTCATACTTTTATCATTTGTCTGGAGGTTTTGGCGGGAACTTGGCCGACGACGACGACTTTGTTTAATAATGGTTTAAAGTGGATTTTAATTCGTAAAAGTGATGTGATTTTGTGAATTAATTGACTGCGTGTGTGAACTATTAGAGAACGACGAAACAAGTGCTTTGATGTCGATATAAACCTCAAGTTCTTTTGATCGCTTAGGAGCCTTATGAACTTAGTGGCTGTCGTCATCAACTGTCTGCTGGGTTGAGCTGTCGTCAAAATCTCCCAAGGGCTTCGCAATGTGACGCATCAGCATATTGTGAAGAAAACAAAAAAAGCGCGGGAACCTTGAAACTGGACTGATAAATCTATGTGGATTGAAGAACACTTGGCTTTAGCCTTTGTGATTTTTGTAAAAATATGAGGAATTGAAGAAAATAAGACTTGGCTTCGGCCTTTATGGATTTTGAAGAGATGGAAAGAAGAAAAATAAGACTTGTTCCGGCCTTTACAGTTCAAAATTCTATATATTCAAATTTAAAAAAAGACAAGGCTGTATGGCTTAGTTCCCATGCCTGCTCTCTCGAGCGAATAATAAAAACAACATCAATCAACAACATTTATCAGTAATCACTTAAACTCTGATTTTTCATTCCGTAGAATTCTGACATTTCGTAAGTGTTGCTACTAAAAAAGTTCTCCACCGAAAAAGAGACAAATTTGAACCATTTGAGGGCAATAAATAATAAAATGCTACGTATTTTTTATGTTTCACCTACAAAAAGGTAAATCTAAATATTTACTTATACAAGTCACCTAATACAAAAATAACAAATATTTCAATATCACGAACAATATATCTAATTAACTTTAATTACTTAATATTTTATTCTTTAGCTGGCATCACTGTCTACTAATTCCAGGTTTAAAAAACCTTTTAAAAAAATGTTAGCTGTCACGTCGCGTCTGTCACATTGATTGATTTTCATTCGACTTCTTTGAATGCTCGAATGCGCATGTGTTCTCGGTGTTTGCTGCTATTTGTTGTTATTATCTTGTTATATTTGTTAAGTTTCTGTTATTCTGTTAAGTTTTTTCTTGTTGACCTTTCGTTTTGTGATCGTTTGTTGATTTTTATAAACGTTATGGAGCCTAACCAACCTGGCCCTTCCCGGGAAGCAGCCCCATCTGACAGAGCACAAGGCTTAGACTTTCTTTCTCCCAGAAAGAAGCGTCCTCGTGGTGCTTTTACGCCCAACGAAAAGACCATAATTCTAAATATTTACAAATATAATATAGAAAATTGGCCGCAAACAACTGATTGGAGTGCAACGGAATGTGCTAAAAAGACTTCTGAGATGACTGGCGTGGGTCTGTCAAGTGTCTATAAAATTACCAAAGAATATAAAGACACAAAAGAATTTCAAAAGCCGAAAAAGAGTGGACCTCAACTATCTTTCATACAAAAATTTGACGAATTCACTTTCGCCGCAACTCGACGAAAGGTTCACGCGTTTTTCTACAGGAACGAGATTCCGACTATTGAAAAGGTAAAGTTATTGCTAATTCTTTAACACCTCGTTGCTGACATCCCCCATTGTTTTAAAACTATACTTTAACCTGTGTTGCCTGTCTACATTTTAACTGTAATGTAAATGCTTATTTCAGATTCACCAAGAGATAACTGGTGATCCAGACATGCCTGTTATGTCGAAATCAACATTAAGAAAAGTATTGAAGCATTTAAATTTTAAATACACAAGTCGCAAACGTCGAAGTGCGCTAACAGATCGCAAGGAGATAGTACTATGGCGTCAAAAATACTTGCACCAAATTAAACAATATAGAAGAGAAGGCAGGCTTATATATTACCAGGATGAAACGTGGGTAAACGAAGGCAAGTATTGAATTATGTGGTAATTAACTTTTTATAACCTATCTTTTCTTCAAAGTATTAGTCGGAAATCGAATTCTGTACTTATGTAATACTTAAATTAACTTTGTTAATAAATTTTTGTTACCAAAATGAATAAATAAATAAAGAAATCCATGTTTACAGGTAATATTTTTCAATTTATATGCATATATAACTGTCCTCATGTATAAGTGAAATATTAAATATATTTTTATTTTCAGGACATACCGTCAATAAAGTGTGGTGTGATACCAACATTCAATCTTCACGACAAGCTTTCCTCGATGGCTTGACAACAGGGCTTAAGGCACCAACAGGCAAAGGGGGGCGACTTATAGTTAGCCATATAGGGAGCGAAGAAGGATTTTTGGAAGATGGTTTATTAGTTTTTGAGGCAAAAAAAGGCTTGGCAGATTACCACAAGGAGATGACTGGGGAAGTATTTGAGGAGTGGTTCACAAAAATACTTCCAAAATTAAAACCAAACTCGGTAGTAGTGTTGGATAATGCTCCCTATCATTCGAGGAAGGTCGAAAAAGTACCAACGAGTGCATGGAGAAAAGGCGATATCCAAGCGTGGTTGACTTCAAAAAATTTAAATTTTGAAGAAAAAATGCTAAAAGTTAATTTATTGGAAATTGTGGGTCAGGAGAAATACAAATATCAACAGTGTATTGTAGACGAGATGGCCACAGCACAAGGCATTACTGTGCTTAGACTGCCCCCATATCATTGTGAGCTCAACCCTATTGAATTGGTGTGGGCTCAAGTGAAGGGGCATGTCGCAAGACACAACAGAAGTTTTAAAATGGCGGAAGTTAAAAAACTATTACTGGAAAGTATAAGTAGTATTACTCCTGATAAATGGCAAGAATGTATCAGCCATACAATCAAAGAAGAAGATAAGATGTGCACTCTCGACGATTTCATTGACACAGTCGCAGACTCTTTAATAATTCATGTCAGCGATGATGACGATGATGAAGATAGTGATATAAGTATTAATGATGACTAAAGATTTTAATAAAAATATGTTATTTTTACTTGTGCATTTTTTACTGTTTGTAATGAAAAGGGACGTAATTATCACTCGCCGTAAAACCATGTAGAGTACCGCACTTAATAAAATGGATACATTTACTAACAAATAAAATGTATGTATAGACTCAGATGTTCAGACACGTATTGAAATTGAAAAATGTGCCCGGCCAAAAAGGTTTGTAATCTCTGACATGTCAAAAAATGATAGCTGTCAGAATTCTACGGAATGAAAAATCAGAGTTTACGTTAGTACCTTCCGTATATATTACTATACTCTTTGGTTAGTACGTAGACAGAGTTCTCTGTCTATGAGTTAGTAGTACTCTTATTAGTTTGTGGTAATCACTAATCATTCATCAGTTCACATTCCACATCAGTCAGCAGCTTAGTTCCATTCTACGCAACTTGGCGCTACCGTCGCAATTTGTACTCTGCCTATGGACGCCATTTTGAGACGCCATATTCTGTCAAATCATATTGTCAAAACTATCGATATTGATTGCCGCCATTATTTATCTAAATTTTTCTCAATTATTACAATATTCTGTTTTTGTGCTGCTCGTGTGAATATTGCATATATCATCATAATGGTATACGAAAAGTGTTGTGTTGGTGGTTGCAATACAACACGTGAAACGCACCGGCTTTTCAGATTCCCTAGGAACGATAATTTAAGGAACTTGTGGATGGCTTTCATAGTGCCGACAAATCCCCAGCTCATTGTACTTTCCAAAGAACAGTTACTTAACAAACGTGTCTGTGAAAAACATTTTGATGTATTTCAGTTCGGCAATGAAGGCAGAAGACTTCAATACTCTTACCCGTCCTTGCTTACTGACAATGAAATAGCTCATGGTGTGCCTCTGACTGCAACTGGTGAGTTATTTTATTACTTTCAACCATGGTACTTAAAAGTGAAGGAGACGTCTCTATACATTCTTGGGCCCAAGTATTAACAAGATAAAAGTACGACCATTTGTAAGTGTCATTGACTCTACATCATTATTTGCTATGATTATGTAATTTTTTCAGGATGGGATGTCACAACTGAACATAATTACTGTAAAGAGCAAAATGAAGATGATTTCACAGAAGCTGTGTTAGTGGTTAGAAAGCCTGGTATGTACAAATATCTTAATTGATGTTAATTGTAAATCATAGTAAACATATTATGATGAACACTGATTTCTAAAAATATTTTATTTAAATTACAGTCAGTGGCAAATTTTTCAACATTTTGAATAATGTTTTCAGGAAGTAATGTTACGATTGAACACAATTACTACAAAGAGCAAAATGATTGTTCCAAATCATCGGTAGAGATGTGATCAAGGGTCCACATTTCGAACAGCAATAAGAAAACTTAGGGAAGATACAATTCGTAGGCGGAATATTCAAGGTGTTCATGATGGTGTGTACCATTCTTAATTACTTAAAAACCAGTTCTACTTCATGACAAATATTATTTATTTTAATTATTTTACAGATGGATCAGTTAACGACCACGAGAATCGCGCCACCATCGACCTGCAGCGCAAGGTCCCGCACAATGACACTACACCCACACAAATTGGGATAAACCCTGTTGGATTCAGATGCTTATCATGGAACGATCTCCAAGTGAAAGTACCAACACCAAGGAGATAAATGTTCTTTTTAAAAGTAATTTATATTTTTTTTATAGTATAAGGGTGACAAACGAGCACACAGTCCACCTGATGGTAAGTGGTTGCTGTGGCCTATAGACATCTACATCTATCTTCGATTATGAATCAAAATGCAGATGCATTGTCACCCGTGAGGACTAAGATGGAATGCCTCGTTTCCAGTAAAAAGGGGTCTCCGGTTCTCTACACTCACAATACGAAACACAGCAGCGTTAAGTTGATATTTTACGCTGGTATTCTCTGACAGTTTGGTCCCTCCCCGGTCGAGCCGACCCATTCGTGCTAATACTATACCAGTAATATACCTGCAGCATGGATCTATCACGTACAATTGCCATATAACTTAGTTATATGATAATATAGATCACTTTTGAATTATGATTATACTAAACTGTCGTTAACAGTAGCCATACAGCATTAATACATACAATACAGAAGTATACATTATATATTTATTCTTTAATTTTGGGTTTATGTATAAGAACAAAATTCACAAATATTGTTGGTTTTCAGAAACAGAAATCTAATGCTGATGTGGTGAGACAAATGTTGACAGAAGATACAAAATGTACACATTGGCAAAAAGGTATGATAAATTCAGTTTATTCTTAGACATTAGGTAAGTTTCAACATATCTTCATTCATCAAGAGTTCTTTGTTCTTCATCAAATCTAAAGATTACAGTTCCACTACAATGGTTTTATCAACAACTCCTTTAGTATTATGGTTACACTTATTTGGAACTCCGTGCCTGAAGACATTGAGAAATCTCCTGATAATGGATGTATACAGTGTTAATCTTTATATGTTTTTTATTTCTTATTTACTGCATCTACCACTTTATTTTCACCACACCATGGGTTGACCAATAAAAAATGGCAACTGCCATGATGCCACCCTTTGTTACCTTAATATAAATAATATACAATTTATGATTATCATTAAGTCATAAAATATGAATATTGAACTTTATTTTTATTTATTTCTTTTCAGGTTACGTGGTGTAGAAAATGAAATTAAAGAAGAGAAGATGTTTTTTAATTTTTGTATAAGAATTCCCAGGTTTACCCCTAATGAAAAATAAATAGCATTGCTTCTAATAAAAAATGACTTGAAAGTATAATATTAAGCACTTAAATATGATTCCTGTGGTTTAATTTGCTTTATTTAATGAACTGTAAATATTGCTCTGTTTCGTCAAATTGTACTTATTTATGTAAAATGTTATGTACAATTTTCTAATTTGTATATATGACTTAATGTGCCTTTAATTTAATCCTAAGATTACGTTTGTATGTATATGATGTTGGTGTGCTTGAATAAAAAATAAATAAGTTAGATGTATTATAATTGTTTCATTAAGTATTATTATTCCTGTATAATGCACTTATGTCGATATCGACAAAATAAGAACACCACTAAACATCGATATCGATAATTAGAAGGCTGTGTGCTTGCAATCCCTAAGCTATACTAAATTGTATAGTCATGACGTCATTACTCATCTGTCAAATTGGGCGACTGCAGCGCCAAAAGGCGTAGTTGGGAAACTTGACTAAAAGTCGCTGTCATATCTGCCATACAGTTAAATATTTCGCTTTCTTTCTTAGTTGTAAATTCTTAATAGCTTTTAATTCTCTTTATATAAATTAAAATATGAGCAACGTTCCTGACAACGCACCTCAACGTGAGTTTACATAAATTGATTAGCAAAACACTTCATTTTCCAATTTCAATATTTTGAAGATGTTTCATAATTTCTCTCAGATTGCCCCGGAACTCAGAGTGAAGATGCTGGAAAGGCTTCGGCATGTGCTGGTTGCCCCAATCAGAATATTTGCGCTTCTGGTAAGAGGGACTTTGAACTTCAAAATAAGTATGAGAATCATTTACTACTTGTTGCATTAAATCGCTTATCACATACTAAATATTCAAAAGGCTAACTGTGTTAAAGTAATTTCATTCGACGGCATTAGACTGTGTTTTTTACCAAAAGGCAAGAAAGTTGTAACTAAAAATCTTTTTATATTTATTATCATTACAAGGTAACCATTATTTTTAATCTGTGATAAAACCTAGAATACCCCAAGCATGTTCCAAATCTGAAAACTTGTGAATTTTGTGAATGTATTTTTTTAAATAATTCATAAGTATCTTGAAAACTATGCTTTTTGGCTAATATTATTTATTTATTTATGGATGTTTACAAGAAACAAGATCGATGTAACTTTGAGACTTTAAATAAATTGTAAGTTTTGCATAGTTGAACCTAAATGGTAGTAATATATTAAAGTTGAATATATTTTTTAAGGTGCTGCCTCAGAACCTGACCCTGCGATAGAATTAATTAAAAACCGTCTCTCAAATGTAAAATATAAGATACTGGTACTTTCTGGCAAGGGTGGTGTTGGTAAAAGCACAGTAACATCTCTGCTGGGCCATGGACTTGCTGCTAGGGATCCTGATATCAATGTAAGTTTAAACCCAAATATTACAATAATTTTTGAAACTGAAGACTATCTTCTTTGGCCTTCAACTACTGTACATGAACTTCTTCCGTTGTAGGCAGATGTTATTTGTTACACTTGACAGGTAGATTTTAGATTTGAAATTTTTTTTTAGAATTTGAATTTTTTTACGTGGTAAAGCATGCTGCAACTTTAATATAGTTGTAACACGAATGAGAAGCCTGATTCTAGAAGTACCAAACTCACAGAATAACAGCTTAAAATAGCACTCAGCTCAATGCTACTGTTTCATTAAGGTGAGTATAGAAAACCAGACACCTTTTTTACTGACCACAAAGCATTCCATCTTGGTTGTATCATTGTCAGGTGTGACAATGCATCTGCATTTGGATTTTTAATTAAGGAAAAATTCCACTTACGATCAGGTGGTTTGTTTGCTTGTTTGTTACCCAACCTACCCAAAAAAATGGTTGATAGACTTATTGCAAGAGTGGATGCTGCTACATTCCCTGTAGATAGTCTAAGTATTTTGCACTTATCATACATAAAAGAAATTGTTCTATTTCCTGCCATTAAGTATAAAAAATTTCTGGCATTTTCCATAGTTGCCTCTTACCAAAATAAGTGTTCTGTGTCTGGATATTTGTCCTTGTGCAGTTTACATGTATAAGCTGCCTTCACAATACAGGAGAAAATCCTAGTGTGTAGTACCTTTTTTTAAGTTCTAATATTACAACTTCCAAATGTAAAGAGAATGTTAAACAGTAGCACTCATTGTAAACTTCACAGTACATGAGCAACCGGGTTTGATCACTGCTGTCACCAATAAAAATGTTAATTGCAATTTTAAGTGCTGATTTACCATGTGTGAAGGAAACATTGTGGGAAAACCTGCATTTGTGAAAGATTAAAAAATACTTCGTAGATGTGAAGTCTAATTTTTATCCTCTGTGTGGGTAACATATTTTTATATAATAACATATTTTTTTATTATTTTTATTCAGTATAGATTTTTTTTTTAAATATGTTACCTCTACACTAAGATTTTCTCTTGTATCGTGGGGGCAGTTTACAAACATAAATTGCACAAGGACAAACATCCAGACCCGGAACAACTATATGTAGGCCATACAAATACTTGTTCCGTGCAGGATTGCGGGGTACTGCTTCGGAAAGAACCTGTTCTGGGAAGAGCCAGAGTGAAATCCAGCAGGACAATATTTTTAAATAATAATTTATTATACAATGTATCCTTCAATTATATGGAAACATTTAGAACAGCATGTTAGTGATCACCTTGTTCTCAGGGGTTATTATAAATCTTTTTTTTTTTTTAAATGAAAACTTCTTTAGGTATGTATGGCACTTTGCGATAGGGAAAAAGCACTGTACTCACATAACCGTCAATCTCAGATACATAAATACAGATGTGCGTGAACATACATAAATACAGATCTGTGTACGACTGACAGTTTTTTTTTAGAATTAGGGTGACAAATGACCACACAGTCCACCTGATGGCAAGTGGATGCTGTGGCCCATATACATCTACATTTATCCTTGATTAAGAATCAAAATGCAGATGTGTAGTTACCCCTGAGGACTAAGATGGAATGCCTTTTTTCCGGTCACAAGGGTATCTGGTTTTCTACACTCACCATACGAAACACATCAGCATTAAACTGCTGTTTTGCACTGGTATCCCGTGAGATTGTGGTTCTACCCCAGTCGAGTGGAGCCATTCGTACAACAACCGTAATATAGCTGCAGCATGGCTCTACTGCATATAATCATGTACTCTTTATTAGTATAATAAACCTTAATAAAAAATTTTTGCTTAATATTATCTGTTATCCTATTAAATCTATATAAGGACCTTTTAAACATAAATAATTTTTGTTGCCAGGGCCAATATATGTGCAACAAAGTTGTGTAGTGGCACAATAAAATTGAGAGAAGATATAACCGTGTTTTAAATGTCTATACCTATATTCAATTTTACATTGATGTATTAACATCAGAGGTAGGCCTATTGTCAGTGACAATGTTCAGCTATACTAACCAAGTAACATACAGATGTAATATATTTCACATGATCTGATAAGAATGGGCGAATTTTTGCACTTTCAAAATATTACACTTATTATATGGTCCTAGATGGCCATCAGAAGTTGTCCCTTCTGACAACCTTGTGTCCTACAAAAAATCCGTAAATTCGCAATAAATAATATTTCAGGGTTACTTATCGAGTTAAAAACTATCCTATGTGTCAAGTTGGAGAAAGCGATACACAATTATAAAATTTCGGAGATTAGAGTGAACAAACATCGTGACATTGGATTAATTATATGTTAATTATTTATATGTTAAGATATTTTTAAAAGCAGTTACTTCTTTACAGTGATTTCAATAAATAAAAAAACAACTAAGATTAGATTGTTAATAATGTTATAATAAATTTGTAAACAAATAAACAATCCCTACATAATGTTCTGTCTATGATAATTGATAA